CTAATATCGTTTGTCTGAAATTGGCACCCAATATAACAACATGTATAAAATTTGAATTATTCAAATCACTATATTCGAAATTCGCTTGATTCAAAACAACATTACCAAATGAAGAATTTCTTAATTGAATTCTTGTTAACCGAATTCCACGTAGATCAAGTCGTAAAATAGGATTTTTGTTTGCACCAAATCTAACGTTCGATAAATCTGAATCTGCCAAGTCTATATATCTCATACCGGGTTTGTTTTCATACAATAAATGATTGTCATATAAAAATTTAACTAAATACCATTTTCGTGTTGGATCGATTTGGTCCAATGTTAACGTTGTTTTAGCTCGGGCAAACACTAGTTCTGGTATTGTAATATTAATGTTTTCTTTGAGAACGATTGGTAACATTTCTTTCATGAATGTATCATAAATATTTTGCATTCGAATTTCTTTTGCAGACTGGCTCTCGTGTTCTTGTTGTTCTTTTATTTTCAAAGCATCTACTTCTCCTTGTCGTTTTTCAGCTTCTTGTTGTAATTCTGCTTGTCGCTCAAGTTTTGTCATATCAGCCTCACGTTGCAATTGAACACGTTTGGATTCTTGAAGTGTTGTTACAACAGTAAACGCGCCAATCATTATTGGAACGAGAATAGCTGAAATTAGTTTGGTTGTTTTTATTGTTAATGAACATTTTGTTCTATTTAGTTTCAATTGACTCTTGTTCAAAAGTTCTTTTTGTGCCGCTCGGAATTTTCGTCCGTAACGATGCCAATGCAATGGTCTTCGCATGTGATATTTCACAAATATTAATTTGTTGTGTCGACCAACTTTCACCTAGCAAAAGTCATACACTTGTCTTCCAGTAAAAACAAGGATCACAAAAATAATTTAAATATTAATTTTTAGAAAAAAGCAGAAAAAAAAAATAACAAAGATTTATTGTAATTAAGTGACGATCAATAAAAGAAATAAACGTAAATGTGGGTGAGATCGTGAGAATCGATGTTTGCGTCGCTCTGAGTCTCCATTACCTTCTCACGTACATTCGTGTTGACTTCCATCTACGCCAATCTTCTTTATTATCTAGCTATTCTATAGAATAATGCAGATTCTGTTAAAGGTGATTTTCTCCTCTATTGCGTCGCTTTCTTTATGACTGCATAATAACAAAAAGAAATATATGCTTTGACAGGAGAGGAAAAGTACTGTTTTGATTTTGTTAAAACACATTTCTATCAAAGAGATATGGGACCTGGCATTTGTCACGTTATACTGTTCGATATAGTAATAGATAACTTCTTTTGTTTTATCGAGCGTGTGAATGAGAAAAAGATACATTTACCCTGACGCTCAATTTGAATGTAGTTAAACTATAATAACTTTGTACCCTATAGTAGTCTTTCATTTAGCAAGTGTTCGGTCAAGGGTGTGGGTGTCGGTGTGGGTGTGCGGGGTGGGGGGGGGGGGGGGTGGGGGTGAGTGTAGGCGTGGGTGAAGAGAAGATTAGAACACACACCCACTCCCACCCCCACCCCCACCCCCACCCACACCTCACGCCCACACCCCACACCCCACACCCCACCCACCCACACCCACACCCACCCCACACCCCCATCCACACTCACCCCACACCCACACCCACACCCTGACACTGACTCTATAACGATGTATCATCTGCCAGAAAAACTTGAAAACTAAACAATAATAGAAAACCTTTACATTTAATAGATCCTACCAAAGCCTTGCTCTGTCCAAGTCTGAGCCTACTGAAGCTTACCCTCAGCCAGCCTAGGGTGAACTTGAGCCTACCCAGGCCTAATGGCTTCGCCGCCTATGGAAGAGCACTGTTCTTTAATTACTTAAAATTCAAAAGTTATTTTGAATAGAAGTTTAGAACAAAAGTTAAATTATCTTATATTGAAAATAAAGAATTCGACGTAAATATAGACGTCAACGAAACCAATCAGTATGTCACTGGGCACGAGTTTGTAATAGATAAGATGTGGACTGACCTTGTAATAACGAGTCATCTGACAGAAGAATATGAAAATTATCTAATATTAGAAAAATTTTACATTAAATCGAGCCTAGTCAAGCCTTTATCTGTACTGGTTCGAGCCTACCAAAGCCTACCCTCCTCCAATCTAGGGTAGGCTCGTGCCTACCCAGGCCTCGTGGCTCCGCCGCCTATGATTATCATCAACAACAATAGAGCAATAAGATTTTTTTTTTCTTATATCAGCTGTTCAAAAGATATACGAACAGTGTCATCCATATATATATATGTCAGCGTCCATACTCGGATTCCGTCCAATCTCAGATTCGCTTGAAAATTGAGCGTCCAATCTCAGATTGGCCTAGGCGAATCTCAGATTGGCCTGATGAATTTACGTCCAATCCGAGATTGGACGGAATCCGAGTTTGGACGCCAACATATATATATATATATATATATATATATATGCTGGTGATTCAGAATGAGAAAGAGAAAAGAACGAAAAGGAAAGAAAAAAAATCGTTCAGAGAAAAAGATAGATTCTTGCTGATTTCGCTGGAAAATCTATTTTTGAAAAAAATCTGCTGGAGGCTATAGTGTACCCATTTCGAAAAATTAGTGACTCATACTCAGTTTTTCACGCTCTTTCCAATGATGTAATTTTTATCAACTCTGCACGACATTAAAAATTTCGAGCCGGTTGATATGCGTACTGGTTGTCGCTTGTATAATATATTAATTAAGAACAAATACAATAGAGGACGCTCTTTTATGTGCCCATGTTCGATTTTAATTGAATGAAATGCATGTATAAAATGTGACGGACACTTCTTCAAATAAAAGTTTTCAAAACATTCCGTTGATTAAAAAAAATATTAATAAAGAATTACAAAAAAAAACTTCTCATAGGATTACTAAATAAACCAATAACTGATTTTTCTTCTTTCTCTCTGTACTTCGATGACTCAACCAGGGCTGCCAACTGTACCCCATTTTGGGGTACAATACCCCATTTTGTTATTTTGTACCCCTGGGGTACACTTTTTGTACCCCATTTAGATATTTGAGCTTTTATTGCTATAAATAAGTCTTTGAATCAAAATCAACTACATTTTCGATACACCTTACATCATCTTTCTAGAGTCATTTGCATATAGTATGGACGCTCAGCCGAAAAAACAGCTCAAATAAGTGAAACAATAGCAAATGCTCTATGATTGGTTGTTTTTTTTTGGAAGGGGCTAGTTATAAGATTGGCATCAGTAGATAGAAAAAATTTTTCTCTATCGAACTGTATATTTAGTTTAAAAAAAAAAGAGGCAGCGCCATGAAATCCTCAAAATACTCTGACCAATCCTAACACAGATCATTTATAATGATGTTATTATCGAGACGGCATGGCCAAAAGGGTGTGGGTGTGGGGTGTGGGTGGAAGATAAGACCAATACCCACACCCACACACACCCTCGTACTGATCATACCATCCATTTCACTGATCACTTAAATTCATGCCAAAAAAAAATTATCATCAATATTAATTGAAATCGAAATAATTTATCCTTCACAAACTCGTGCAATAATACATTCATGTTTATATGAGTCATATTACGACAAGTTCTTTTTATCTCATTCATTAATAGATTGAATTTACTTGCTGAACATGCGTTACTTTCGTGTATTCTTCAGACTACACACACCATTTCACCTTCACTCATTGTTGTACCAACTAATATGTGTATATGGTGTATATTATCTGAAGCAGAACCCATCAGGCTATGTCATCGATACTTGAAATGAATAAACATTTTCAGTTAAGTGGCTTCTTCTTACTTTCAGTCGAAAAGGAAAATACAGTTTGACACCGCTATATTGTAGATCAAATTTTATTTTCGACTACAACTTCTGTCTTGCTTGTGTCCAAACAACGTTTTATAGTCCGAGGTTCTCTTCATTCAAAACATCATCTTGATCATATTCCTACGTTTATATCTGAATACTTTTCCCCTTCGATATTTTACCTCTTCGATATTATGCAGTTGGACATTTTATTTTTCGATGTTTTGCCACCTGTTTGATAACAAGTGAAATTTGTCTTGCCTTTTAAGGACAATTTTTTTTAACGCTTTGTTTATAACGGTGTTGAATGATTAAGTTGTACGATTGTTCGCTTCCTATTTTTTCCTTGAATGTTCTTTTATCTTTTCATCAACTAAAATATATGAGTATTATTCTTATTCTACAGGGCGTAACATAACCTTTGACTCCCCCTCTACCACTTTGAGTAGCAATGATTTTCTTAGATATTTTTACATGGTTCGACAGAGCTCGTCGAGCTGTATAAAAGTGCATATTTGAAGAATATTTTGGGCCATCTTTTTCAGGTAAAAAATTCAAAAAACTACTTTGAAAATCTCCAAAAATGTTCAAAAATTTCATTTTTTATATGCAAGACAAACACTCGATTTTTCAATAAAATTAAATTTTTGTTCATTATTTTTCCTATCTCCGGCATTTTGAAACGTACTCATTCGCTGGCGCACGAAAAACTGAATCCAATGAACACATTTTGAAACGTCTGAGATAGCAAAAATAATAAACAAAAGCTAATCTTATTGAAAAATCGAGTGTTTTTCTTCTATATAAGAAAATGTAATTTTTGTACATTTTTGGAGATTTTCAAAGTAGTTTTTTGAATTTTTTACCTGAAAAAGATGGCTCAAAATGTCCTTCAAATATGCACTTCTATACAGCTCGATGAGCTCTGTCGAACCATGTAAAAATATCCAAGAAAATCATTGCTACTCAAAGTGGTAGAGGGGGAGACAAAGGTTATGTGACACCCTGTACTGATAGACTATTAATTCTTTCTCACACATAAAAAGACACTGTAGCCGAAAAGAGTGAGCAAATATAAGAATTATTTTCTGAATCAAATGTAACAGAACAGTTTCTTTTAATTTCAGATTATAAACACTCTCGTCATATAATATTTGTTTAAAAAAAAAGTGATTTATGATAATGACAACCGAACAATCTACTATCTCCACATCTGTTGCATCATCAACATCACCATCAATCCATCTTCCATTAAATATTCATGCAACATTTAATATTCATGGTTTTAATGATGGACAATTTGATTTTCTAATTAACAATTTGAAAATAAATGGTAGGCCTTTTCTTTCTGTTGTTTCTTTTAGAAACAAGCAAGGACAAACACTTTTTTGCAATTCACAAAAAAGGCTGCTTTTTTTCTGTTTAGTGGCAAAAGAACTTTGTTATATAGCAGCACGATTATCTTATGGTTTAGTTCTTAATAATGAAATTGGTTTGTTGCTATTATTATCATCAAAAAACAGATTTTAAATGGATTTCATCAACTTTGACCTCTACTTTCAGAACATTTACATCTTCCTATTGTGCCTGCCATAGCTACAGTTGAATCATTGTTGGAGCTCTATATTCAAGCTACGAATGCTTCTGTATGTATTTGTTTAATCGTGTTGTTGTTATTGATTAAAACGGATATTTTCATCGATTTAATTCCATGGTTTTGATAAAGAAACCAACCTAATTTCACGATTTTGAGAAAAAATCAATTTCATGACGTTTTTTTTTTAATGAAAATATTCTTTTTAGTCAATGAAATTAAAAGATACCAGGTCTTGTATCTGATTCATCATATATAATGCAGTTTGTTTGACCATTTTCATAAAAATCGATCAAATTAATAGCATTATTTCCATTTTTAAAGGAGGAGGGTCGATTTCATAGCTTATCGACCCTCCTCCTTTCTAACTTGTCCATTCATTCAACGAAAATAATTATGTTCTTTTTATTAATAGATTGAAGCCGATGTTTTATTGAATCAACTCACTAATCCACCATTGGTAATACCACATGAAATTGCTCAAACGATAGTCGAAATTTGCAGGAATACACCTTACCTTAAAACATTTTTTATATCTAAATCTGGTCTTATTTTATCGTTTCCATCATTCAACAAGAAAAGAAAACGTCAGCGTTTGATAAAATTAATGGAATCTTCCTTAATTAGAACTGCTATTGATAGAACAATAGCATTTTTCTCAAATCCATCTTTGTATTTACCTGCAATTGACAAATTTATTAATGACTTTATGTTATGTCGTAGCTCCACAGATGAAACAAATTATTCTCAATTATCGATCAATAAAAAAATACTTACTGAAGAGATGCTTCAACGGTGCCATATTGAAGTTGATACTGAGACAATTAATAGAGCTTCTTTCATGGAATCTAAACCGATGATTTATCGTCAAGATGAAACAATGCTAACTGGTAAAATTATTATTAATCAGAAGGTATGTAATTTATTCAATATGACTAAGTATGTTCTGTTCGTTTATGAAGATTTTTTCTAAAAATTTGTTGGCATGTGTACATATCAAGTGAATCTCGTCTCTATAGTACCAAAATCTCTTGTTCATCTGTGAGATCTGTCGCCTCCATCTAACAAGCAGAAAATTAATAAAAAGATTCTATTAGAGTTCTAATGGATGAACAAATCAATAGATCTCATAGAATTGCACGAGGGAAACAATATCGAGCATTTTCAAAAGGATTTATAGGGGCAATGTTTTGAAATGATTTTCCCTTTACACGAGTCAATGATGAATAAGATTTGCGAAATTTTAATTACTTAATTGAATTTTTTTAGAATTTTCAATTCATAGTATTAATAAACAGGTTTTAGCGACTAGTACATTGTATTAATCACAGTCTTGGTATCATTGAAATTCCAGAATTTTCAGATTATTTAAATATTCAAAATATTAGAATAACAGATATTCTAGAATTATTACAGTAATTGGAATAATCAGAATCTTACAAGAATCAGCATTTTGGAATTATTAGAATAATGAAAATATTAGAATGATTCAAATTTTAGAACTATTCGAATAATCGAAGATTCAAAACACAGGGTAGGGCATAAGTAGCTTTACGATAAAAAATTTGAATATCATCACTATGTTCCACACTATGCTGGCTGATTTTTTTTCTGTAATAGAGATGATTTCAGAGTTTTTTTTCATACTAACGGCATTTATAAATATTGCTTTGAAGTATCACTATCGAGTTCAATAATGAATTTTTATCTTTTACAATGTTGAAGATGATCCTAATAGATCCATTTATGATTCATTCGTCGTTCGACGAATGTATGTAATTACGTGTTTCGTTTTGTAATGTGGAATTGGCTTTTCTTAGTTTTTGTACCATCTATACCTTATGGAAATAAACGATCAATCATATACAGTCGTCGAAGGACAAATGAATTATAGATGGATCTATTAGGATCATCTTCAACATTCTAAAAGATAACAACTCATTATTGAACTCAATGATGATACTTCAAAGCAATAGTTATAAATGCCGTTAGTATGAAAAAAAAACTGTGAAGTCATCTCTGTTACAGAAAAAAAATCAGCCAGCATAGTGTGGAACATCGTAAAGAAATTCAAATTTTTTATCGTAAAGTTATTTCTGGGCCAGCCCATAATCAAAATATCGATATATTCAAATGATCGAAATATTAGAACAATCAGAATTTCGAAATTATTAGAATATAAAAATGATCGAAGTTTTAGAATAATAGAAATATTAAAATGATCAGAATTTTAGAATAAACAGAATAGTTCCGATTACTTTGATGATTCCATAATTATGATAACTAATATTGTGAAAATTCAATGACTCTGATTATTCTGGCCGTTTTGATAATTTCTTGATTTTGATAATTCTCTAATTCTGAGTATTCCAGTCATTCTAATAATTCTGTAATTCTGATTATTATATAATTCTGATTATTCTATAATTCTATACTTCTGATCATTCCGATTATTCTAGTAATTTTGTAATTCTGGTAACTCTATAAGTCTGACTGTTCTCTGGTTTTGATTATTAAGATTATTCTGATGATTCCAATGACTACGATATTCTGATGATTTACAGTTCACCGTATTCTGAATATTCCGATTAATTTAAACAATACTATAATTGTTGAATTCAGTTCAGTTTGAGTACTGTTCTAATATTGAACTGGGTTTTCGCATTGAACGAGGCAAAGCTGGGTAAATCCTACAGCCCAGTGATGATTTCGTAATCTTGGAAAGAAGCCACCACTGTAGATAAGGCCACTATTGTTAACTATCTCTTTTTCTTTTCTTTTAGTGGATTGATGAGATGATCAGTGCAAAAGAAAATCAATTAGCTGCACATGGTTTTTTTTGCTTTTGGAAAGATATTACACGAATGTGGACATATATTTACACCATTCGTGATGTTTCAACTTGGTTTTAATGTTGATGCTATAACGTGAGTTTCGTTTTCTCTTTTTCATAGCCAACTAGAATATGGCTTATTCTAGAAAGAATTTTATTACACCAACAAAAATTGGTACTCACGTAAAAGCTTCATGTGTCAAAGGCGATGCTGGTTTTGCACTTGAACAACATGCATCTGGTGGATGCTTATTTACGATAAGTAAATCAAAGAGACGTACATTCAATGTGAGTTCTTTTATATTCACAAGTAATAAATCTCGTGTAAACGGATTTTATGACAAAGTTTATACAACTCAATAAAGATTCTGTATAATTCTAGTCGACCAACTAACTTTCTCGGTTAATTTTCTCTTTCTATAGCGATATTTTTTACACTAGAGATGGGCAATTCACGATCGAAATCGAAATTTTAATCGTCGATTTCGATCTTAAAAAGTTTTTACTGACAATTTCGGTATGATTTCAAAAAATGAACGAACCGATTCCGATATGATGTTAATGTTCACAGTAAAAAATTTTTGTAATAGTAAATATTTTCATGTAAAACGGTGGACTTCTTTCTTTACCTTTTAGCAAACAGTGAAAAGCATGATTTAGACATATATATGACATGTCAAAATGGTAAGTTCGACACCAAATTCTGTTGAAGTTATATCAGATTAATGAAATACTTATTACTTATTCAATAATTAACGATATCATAATGAAAATGACCTTTTATAGTGAATATTGCATTTTATTAGCATAGTCAAATTTTTGAAATATTAATAGTTTTCTTTAAGATTACTGAAAAAGAATAAGAATTAGTATTTGCTGATACTTTACATAATTACTGTTCAATTACACTACGTTAAGTTCTCTTTTTAATAAAAGGCCTCTGGAGTGCTGTGATTAGAGATGTGCACGGGACCAAAAACATTTTTCTGGTTCCGATCAAAGATTTGTTTACTCTTTGATCAGCTTTATTGTTAAATTATTGTTTAACCACGCATTTTGTAGAGAAATGTTTGCTCTTTCCGCCTGTATGTTTTAAAATATTACATAGATTTTCTTTATCAAATAATTTAGCAAATATAATGGCCGGGATCAGTTTGGTCCTGGTCCCGGTTCCGGTAGTGGTTTCGGTCGATTCTAACACAAATATCTCCGGCTGTGATAATTACTTAGTATTCGCGATAGTCTTATCGTGTAAAGAAAATGGTTCTCTACGGAACGTACTATTGGAAACTTTACTACGCTTCTAGACTACAGAGATATTTTCAATTTTATTACCGGGACCATAATTGATCCTGCAAATCTCTAGATGTGATTCAAATTCAGATTATCAAGGAAAACAGATTTATCAAGAAAGAATAAAATGTGTCAAAAACCGTCGTTCAGATCAAGTATGACAAAGACTTGACACGCTGAAGCTTTTGGAGATAAACGCAATTTATCTTGTTAAGACTTGTTGAATTTAACTGTCATAACATTGAATATATTTTTTTCTATTTAAGTAAAAGTCATAGAGCAGAAAAGTCATTTCATATTTGCGCTTCGTTCCTCCCTTACTTGTTTTTGACTTTCATCTTCGAAAAGATATCCACGTTATCTGCATCCTCCTTTAATATTTTATATTACAATTAACATTAAGATCTTGGGAACATTTCGAAAGATTCTGAAAATAAATTCTAGCAGCTGATGAGACCATGCACGTCAAATTTTTGTGTCAATTGATGCTTTGCTATACAAGAGATCATTCATAAAATACAAAACTTAATGTAGTCCAGTTAAACAATAATTACGTAAAGTTTTGGAACTTTTCGTAAGCATATTTTGTAAAAAAACATCAGATCTCCAACACCGATGTTTAAAGTTTTATTTAAATACGAAAACCGAATTGCTATACAATTGTCGTGACAACATTTTTATAGTTTTATTTTCCCACATTTTGTTTGGATTTATCCTGATTTTTTTTGCTAATTAACTACCTTCTAACAGAATATCCTTCATAAGACATTCTGTTATAATTTAAAATTGTCATACGGCCTAACAAATTGGTCCGATCATTTCTTTTTTTTTCTATCCCGAGTGAATACACTCTACTCGGTCAGTTATATATGTGCTGAAGTCGTTTCGGGATGACACTTATGAATGGTCTCCACACGTTAAGTTTAGCTCTTAAGTGTGTCCTTTTCGGGTCTCTCCCTAGCGATGTCCTAGCAACATCTCTATACGAGGCGGATGTGCTTTTGAATTTCTGACACATAAGGTTGTTTCCTGAGTCATATGTTCATGGTTTTGAACTTTGGTTTAGATTTCGTTTATTTTAGCGTTCTATATGTTTTATGTACGCAATTGAAAATGTCTCAAGTACGATGTTTTAACTTTTTTCATGCATTTGCTTTTCGCTTCAGCCTAAAACTTTTCTATCAAAGATGCCTACACGAGACGGCGAAATTTTTACCTGGCCCTACTCCGGAGCAGGGGAGAGTAGGAAAAGATGTTTTTGCCATAAAACTTCGAAATACTAGATTAATTTTTGAACAGCAACTGACATGACTTACTTTAAGGATTTCTGTCGAATTATGTGTAGAAATAACTAAAATGTGGTTATCAGAGAGTTCCTAGAACTATCATATATGTATGGAAATTAATATTCTAATGAAAATACAGAAAAGAAATAGAAGAGAAAAGAATAATTATGGTAGAAATATATTTCTAAGCATTGCATAATTTCTTGCTACTATTCGACTGCACCAAGTAGGCAAAATTTTGAATCCAACATCGCCTGGCCCTCTTTGGCTTCATGATACTCATCCTTCCTTTATCGCTGATTAAAGTAACGTTAGAAATTTCTTTTTCTTAAATATTTCCACTGCTCCAACTAACCCATCATACATAGTCAATTAATTCCAGTCAGTGTTTGAAAAAGGAAAAAAATTGAAACTCGAGACAGTGAACAAAATCATGTTTGCGAGTTAAATAAGATTACAATAAAAATACTAAATACACTTCATGTTCCGTATTAAATTTTTCTGTCACATTTCATGTAGAAAACGTTAGAAAAAGACTAAAGTTGACTATTTTTTGATAAAAACTCCATTGAAATGGTATTATTATCTTAATATAATTATGTTTTTAGACACAATCTTTTTAATCTAATTTGAAGATTTTTCTGATTCATCTTATCGAATGAATTTTATAAATCAGATAAGGTTTTTTAAATTGGAACAGTCTATTACAAGAATAATAAAAAAAAGTCTTTATATAAGACCATATGAAAAATGTAATGGAAAACATCAGATTCTATGAACATTCAAATAGAGCCATTTTAATCTTTTTTTGTAGAACTCACATATATTTTTCATAGAAAAACAGCGAGTGTATATTTTAAATAGAGATTTTTCGGCTTCGCCTACCTCAATTACATATCATAGCAGCGTAGGCCTTCATTACATAAAGGCTGTCATTATAAACAACCTTCCATTACAGATTGTAACAGCTAGTTTAGTAGTTGATGAGTATTCTAGATTATATGAAATATCTGAGTTTCATATTTTAACTCCAAATGAGCTGCGCTAAGAAGCTTTTTTCAGAATAAAAAAATTATTCATTTTAATATGATTTCTCAATGTTTTTCCTTACATGTTTTGTGATTATTATTACTTATTGAGAATCATGATATTTTTTTACTTCATAGGGTGTATGGCTTACTATCAGTATTTGAGCTTATATATAGATTATGCGTTTTTAATATTCTGTTCACACTGTAGAACACTAGTCCTGTGATGCAGGACAGCACAGGGCCGAATTGGGCACAAAACCTTCAACATTAATGTTGTTACCGTGGCAGAGCAGGACGCAAAAACGGCGCTGTGGATATCTCTCTGTGTCATCGTCTTATTTTTGTTTCCCAGCTCTCTTTCTTTGTTCTGTTCCATTGGGCATCCATGAATACCAGTATAAATAAAGCAGATAAAAGAAATTATGTAAAGTATTAGCGAAGGCTAATTTTTCGTCTTTCTGAATAATCTTAAAATAAACTATTAATCTTTCCCAAAATTATATCACGTTAACAAAACACAAAATTAGTTATAAGGTTCACTTTCGTTACAATATCAACAGTTATTGAATAAATAGTGACCTCGTATGTACTTGACCTGAAACCATTTCGGCATGATACATATATATATATGTATATAAACAACGAGTTGAAAAACATCAAAATATGGTGCTTTTAGCATATAATATGTTCGATTCGATAACTAGCATTCGTAAGCTAAGATTATCTTTTAATTACGGAGTGGGCGATTTCGAATGAGAATCGGAATTAGCGATTTTAATTCCAATTTTGATTCCAAAAAAAAATTACATTGATGACTCCGATAGGATGTCAAAAATGATCGTGCAGAATTCTCGAACAAGACGAACCAACTTTTGTTCGTGTTTACTTTACAAATATGAATATATCTATCTTCAAATGATGATAACATAATGCAAAGAAGTAAGAGAAAGCAAAGCAAAGAGAATAAGAGGAAGGAAGAAAGACACAGTGACAGCACTTTCTAGCGTTTATAGAGATCAATGTTAACAAAGCACTAAAATTTCTGCGATTGTAAGGGATTCAGAGATGTGTGAGTACATGTACAACTTGTACTCGTAGAGTCCCAACTATGTCAGCTGAGGTACATGTACTCGTATGTATTCATAACATGGATACATACGAGTACATGAATTTTATAATTCTAGATTTTTCAGGGATATATATGCTCTTATAGGAGTACATATACATACCTTTACATGAGACTGCAGAATGAGAAGTGTACTAGTACAAATCGTACACATACTCACGCACCCTCAAAGGATTAGAACATAGTTTAGTGAGAAAGATAGTTTCTCAGTATAACGGATAGTCAACCAATATTGTTTTTCTTCATGTAAAGTGGACCACAGAAGTTTAAGAGACTTTCCACTAATTTTCTACTTACTCGATACTTAAACATCTTGAAAGCCATATATTTGATGAAACATACATTTTACAAAAGATTGTAAGGTATCATTCGATAGAAAAATCCTAGCCTATAAAATGCACTATTTTTCAGTGTTTCGAAGTTGTTGTTTGAATCCTAATTTGATTAACTATTAATATACTATTACTGACTCTGTAAAAAGTATTGCAAAAAATTCTGTTGTAACTAGTTATTGTGAAACAAAAAATGTAGTTTTATTCAGTTTTCAATGCTTTTTCTAATGGTACACTTGAAAATAAAAAACTATGGAAACAATTTGCATTAATTAATTAATTAACTAAAATTATTTATTATTAATATTCAATTATTCAAGTTAATAATTAAGAAAAAATTTCATAATAAAATGTAGCCCATTTAACTCTGCGTCTAATGGTATATTTCAGTAGTTTCTCCTGTGTTGTCTGAAACTTTTGTAGTCCACTTTATCGTTCAGTGAACAAAGTTTATTTTTGCTGAATGTTAACGAAATTGATATCAATTGTATTTTCTTTGTTTTCTGTATAGATTCAAGCCGTCACGATCTCTGAAGAACCACAACTAGGTTTGAATATTGAACATTATTATTTAATACGAACCCATCGTGTTAATCAATATACAGATACATTTATCAAAGGTCAGTCTCTTTTTTTCGAACTTGTTTAATATAACAAAATATTTGTAATTAAGATTGTCAATCATTAGATCAATTTCGAATCGAATCAACACCTCATGATCGTTATGGTATAGCTACACCACAAAAATTATATCAAATGTTAAAAGAAGAAAATAATAATCAAAGTCCAACAACTTCATCTTCATCATCAGTTTCATCTTCCACTACAACGCCAACTTCTTCACCATTACAAGCTAAACGTCGATCATCATTGCTACAGGATCATGTAGAAACACCATGTATTATTTATCCGGATGAGCAGAGTGACCAAAGACAATTCTTAACGTCTTCGTCATCATCATCAATAGATAGTGACGATGATAATGAAATTGAAATTTCCTGTACATGTTCTCATCATGATCATGAAATATGAATTGACATTAAAATGTTTCTCTTTTTCTTTCTAAAAATTTTATTACATAAGGGATGTCGCATGATAAATAAAGATAAATTTGTTGCTGATTATTAGAACAGGCCCTTTATTCGACTGTTCTGTATGCGATATCCAACTCGAATGAATACACCAAAAAGAAAGAGTTTTTTTTGTTGTGTTTAGTTTTTTGCACAAACAAAAAGAGTCCAAAATATTTTTTCTGAGCATATATTTGTTATTATTTATATTACAACTTACAAAAACATTGCCGTGATTTGATTGAATTGTTTCTTCTTCGTTTCTTTAATCAAAAAGAAAAACATAATTTGCAAGGACATATTTTTGTCTTCGCACTGTTTTACCCTCGTATATTACCACATGTACTCCTAACAATACCATACTGCACTTGTTCACCTGATTTTGCATTTAACGGTATGTCGTATAATATATTTTTTAATGAATACAATTTCAAAGTAGAAATATTTTCTTTAGAATAGAATGAATTTAAATTAATGACTGCATGTTGTGTGTAGAAATTTTAGAGTCAAACAGAAATAATTTGAACATGAGTGTTTTTTTTATTAGTGATTAGATACGGAAAATTTTTTTTTGAAATATAAGATAACGAATGATGTTATTAAAATAGATTTGAAATTTATTATGAATGTCACAAACTATACATTTTCAATTTTGATTGACAAAAAAATAGTACCATATTTTTTTAGGAGATAAAAAAAACAACAATTTTTGCGTTTATTTTTTTTTAAATTAATAATCTGTGTTTCAGTGCTCACTTGATGTTTATTCTTAATACATGTGTATAGTATAATAAAAAAAAAGGTATGTATATAAAAGAAAGAAACATGGAATGCAACCTGCTTGATTCATAGCCGTTAGGATAAGGGTGTGGGTGTGGGTGGGGTGTGGGTGTGGGTGGGTGTGGGTGTGGCGTGGGTGTGGGTGTGGGTGCGGGTGTGGATGTGCTTGCTTTCTAGAATCATACTCATACACCCACACCCACACCCACCCGAATATCTCGCAGATTTGAGAAGATATTTCAACCATAATCTACTCTAGCCAAGGCTACCAGTCTCTGAAATTTTGATTGAATCGCATGGAAAAGTAAAAAAGTTTGTTTGTAAGGAGAATCTTCCCACCCCCGCTTTAAGTTGATTGCTGTTTGACATACTTTCAACGTACGGAATGCAAAGTCTCATCACATCCAGAATTACACAACGAGAGATTCTAATTGCAAGAGAAGTCCATTCGTATCCGTTTTTTTGTTCGTTTTTACTTCTACAACTAGACTGAATTAGACGTACAGAATTTAGACGAGAGATTCTTGAAAAAATAAACTTATCATCTAACCTATTCCTTTGTTGCTCTTCATTACTGAGAGTGATGCTTCTTGATGATTGGTACTCTTTCAAGTTTTATATCGCAATACGTCTAAATAAATAATTTGCATTTATTTGTGAGCTAGAACGATCATGTCATATAGCAATGTTTCTTTATACGTTCTACAGGGATTGCAACTGAGTTAGTGAGTTAATTCCTTCCTCATTTCTCTATCATGAAACCTATTGTCTAGCGATATTTCTGGTTTGACATCGTAGTGGATATCATGACCACAATTCTTGGCATATATAAACTTATATTTATATCGATTGTCATTCTGATACGAACGCTCTAAAATCATACATTATTAATTTTTCTACTTCAAGTTTATGGATATAGAATCCGACTTGCCGTCAAGATGTAGCTAACACTTGTTGCTATAACTGAACACAAACTGGTTTTGTAAACTCTTCGTTGTTAATTTTGTGTATCGGCTTTTCTCGACAAGTTCGAAAAACCAGAGATACTCCTATGAAAAAAGATCCGTTTTTCTCAAAACCTAGATTCAAAAGGAAAAAATCTAGCGCTGCTAAGTTGTAGAGTATAATTTTCTCTTCAATTTAAAATCTTCCCGACCTTTCTCGCATGTGAAATGACTGAGAACCTTGGATGCATGAGCAAAAAAAAGCTCGTTTTAAGAAAAATAGCGAACAAAATTGAACTATGGAAAACTAAGGTTTTTTTCGGTCGTAGGCCGATTAATCAGAGATCACATGGAGGAAACGCATGAAGCATACTTGCTAGAGTATGTGAGATACGTTCTCGAGGTCAAAAGCCTGTATGCAAAGTGATAGGGCTTCAAAAACTAAAGTTTAACAAAAATTTTCGGCTTGCGAGTTTTCCAAAAAATCTCTCGAAAACCGTCATAAAAAGTAACAGTAATAGTGATCCCGAAAGTAGAAAATGTGGGCTATTCGACTATGTAGAGAGTTCAAAAAATTGATATTTTTGACAGGGCATCGAAACATAATTCAGCATATCAAATCGTCTAGTTTCGATTCATTTTGGTATTGTCATATCGTCATTCTCAGAAAATATTCCAAGTTTGTAAAAATGAATTTTAATGACTGTGACGAACTTGAGTACAGAGATGCCCGTGTAGTAAGGATGTACACTTAATTGTTGATATTTTCATACAATAGTTAATCTAATCTCTCCATGCATACATGTTTATATCCATATCAGTGAGTGACAGAACGAGAAGAGAAAAAGCAGTCAAGTGTATCGGTCACAAGAAGAGAGAATATTCGAACATAATCAAAATGATTACACAGTTGATATCACGAACGAAATGAGTATGAAGAATGTCGTTTCATTACAATGACTTAATCGTTTGTATACATATTGAAATCTATGTTTTTCTTCTTTTTTATCTTCAGTTCTATATTATTCATCTGGATATTATTTATTAATTTTCTCATTCGTCTGGATAAATCGCATATTCGATCATTTATCATTCGTTGACTAATGCCATTTTGTTTCGTAAACTCAGTTAAGAATTAAGATAGTTAATGGGTCGACAATCCAAACAAGTGACTGAATACGAGTTAGTCTTTAAATTATTAGTCGTTTTATCGAAATCTTTTATTCTTGCATAGAGGTAACATAGATATTTGTGAAGCGATTGACCCTTACCGATAATGTCAGTAGAAGTGAGAAAGAAGTATATAACTATAGTTAAATATCATTCATAAGTTTCGGACCCATTTTGATGTTCTTTTTGTATTGTTCGAAAACATAAAGTTGAACAGACATAAAAGATATAGATTTATAAGTAACATCTAAGTTACTATTTAAACCTGAGATACTTATTAAGACGGTATGTTATTAGGAAAAATGTTGAAATAATTTTATTAAATTTGTTGTTCATTCTTTTTCATTATTTTGTTATCTTCCTCATGTAAAAGAAACAGCGTCTAAACCTATTTTAGTAATAGACTCCGTAAGAACACAATGATAAAAATGACTTCTAGTGCATGTACGACTCATATTTTCTCATTTTAACAAAAAAAAAGGAGTAGAAAAAAAATTTAATAAATATAGTTTAGTATGTTTTTTATTTCAAAATGCTTTCTTTATAATGATGTCAATTGAGTATAGTCAATTTAGGATAATAGTTCACCAATTATAAATAAATATATATATATATATATGTATATGACTACATATGTCGAAAAATACAAAAGAACTCAAAATTGCCTATAATCTATGAAACAACCTTTGTATATGTTACTATCATAGAACTTGTATTAGTTAGATGAGTTCCTTAAAAGTAGAATAATTTATATCGCATATATTCATTTATTACTAAATGTTTAGCTTTTAAATCGAGTCTATTCCTAGAGAGAGCAATCATGTTCTACAGATCTGTATTACTTGAAGTATAATTTAGATGAATTTTCATTCAACGCAAACATCGAATGCTAAAAAGTGTGTGTTTATTACAATTGTATTTTCGTTAAAATTCTGACGCATTTTGAGAATTTTTAAAAATTTTTTGTCTGATTGGGTTATATTCTCTGTTCAGATAGAAAGCGGTCAAACATTCGAAAATTTGACACATTCTGTGTAATTCAGAGACTAGATAATGCATTTTCTTGAATTATTCACTCGTTGTATTTTGTTATAACATGTGGTGCAAAAATAATTGCACAAATGTCAACCTCTATTTCTCTTGAATAAAAGAGAACGTCTCAACTCGTCACGTGACGAGTTGAACAAACAGCAAAAATCAGACCTTTCGTAACACCAAAAATAGGGATATCCAAAAATACAGGGATGTCGTAACGAAATTTACAGGACGATCGTAACGATTAATACAGGGAGTTCGTAACAGTTGCAGAGCTTTCGAAACGAAGCAACAGGGATTTCGTAATGAGGATGAGGGTGATAGCTGAACTGAGTTTGCAGAAATTACATGCTTTTCGTTACAAAAGCTCTGTAATGGCACATATTAAAACACCAATTACGATCACCCTGTAAACTTTGTTACGAAACCCCTGATTTTTTGTTACGAAAGCCCTGATTTTGTCGTTACGAAAGCTCTGTCACGGGCTTTCGTACTGTCAATTCGTTACGAAAACCAGACAAGAAAAAACGTGACGAGTTGACACATTCCCGAATAAAAGGGTACTGAAAGAAAATTTTTTTCAACCAAAAAAAGAGCCTTTACTTCTTTTACGAAACATATGTCACGTATTCTTTTAACATGCTCATAAATGAAACGATGCAACAGAGAAGAGAAGTATCCTTAAAAAGAATCTGCAATTTTTCATAAAAGAACCGCATAAAATATCGCTCCTTATATCCCTTCAATAAATATGTTCTGAAAATAATATTTTTTGTATTTGTGGATAAAAAATTTTCTTCTCATTCGAACGGTATATGATTCATATTTGTCAACTATTCATAAATGGAGCAAGACGAGAGAAAGAAGAAGCACTCACGCAATAAATTTATAACTTTTACATGAATTTGTCAAAAACATCTTGTACATGATTTTAATCATAATAAATTGTCATTTTACAAGATGGTTTTTAATGATTTCATACAAGGAAAAGTAAGTACCATTTTACAAGATCTATTTAGTGAATTCACAGACA